GGTTGTGACCCTCTGGACGGCTCATATGCTCACAAGAGGCAGAGGTAACGAACAACCACAAAATAAAATCCATCCCAGTGTGACAAATGATCAAAGCCTGATTTTGGGGGGGGGAAGCTCTGTGGAGGAATGAGGCAGTTGTTGGATCTCGTCCCCCCCCCCGTTTGAAGATGTATTGCCAGAGAACCACTGGAGCCTGGTCCTCCCCACCCGAGCGGCCTTCGTGGTGTAAAGAAGTCATGGTGGATCAACGTGGATGTTATTGCTGTCTGAGTATTGCTTCGCATCAAAAAGTAACAACTATTCACGATGGGCGAGTTATTGCTGACATGGGTCGTGGGGTTTTTTGGAAGGGGGGGCTCGCACGTATAAAATGGAAACTAACTCAGAGCAGCTGGTGGAGAGTGAGAGGTGGTGATTTGGGCTTCTTTCAAATTACAGATCATTTCAGGCAGGATCACAGAAGCAAGAGCTGCGAGACCGCCTCAAAAACAAATCGGCTGGGTGCAGCAAAAAACATCAAGAATTCTGGGTTTTGCAAACAGTGCAAATCTGTCTGTGTCACCATTGTAACTTGATTATTGGGGTCATGGTGACACATGGCCTCCAGTGGCTTGTGTGACCTTCTGCACTGAAGTCAGCAGGAAAAGGGGGGAAATCCGTGTTGCATGCAAAGTAGACTGAGGTGTTGCATCATGGTCAGATATCATGAGGACGACACCAAATACATTTAATTGAATTCAGATTTATGCCACGTGAGATTTTGATTTTATCACAGTCATGTTGATGTTGTCTTCTTTAGGGGCATTCTTTTTGACATTTGTGTTATCATTTTAAAAAATGCTTTCAGGTCAATATCACTCTATTTCAATGGATTTATAGCAAAAACCATTTAAATATAAGAAATAATTTTAATTCAGAAGGTGAAAGAGGAGGGATATAAGGTGGTTACATAATCCAACAGGCCTCTATACTAATAAAACACGGAGGAGTGGGGGTAAATGGTTGTGGGGGTCTCCTGGGGCTTTGTCTTGATCTTCCCAGACGCGTGCGCTGCAGCTAAAAAACATACAAACGCGTACAATCCAGAGAGAGAAAACTGGGAGAGGCGAGAAAAAGGAGGAGAGGCGAGAAAAAGGAGGAGAGGCGGGTTGATTTCTTTCCCGGCGTCGGTGGAGGACGCAGGGCGCGGATCACAGAGAGAGCCGGGTCTATTTTTAGCTCTCCGCCGCTGTTTGGCTTTCGACGCACGTCCAGAGTGCAGCAGCAGCAGCAGAGAGCCGGGATGCTGCTCCAGACAGACGGACTTGACTGTGGAGATGCCTGCGTGTTCTCTACTCTCCCTCCCTCTCACGGCTTTGTTCATCTCCCGTGCGCCTTTACGCACGCACAGGGGCGCAAACTAATAATAAACCCGCCCCTCCCTGCCCCCATTTGGAGGAGAAAAAAAACAAGCACGTGTCAGCCAGAGGTTTGGTGCTGTTAACTGTATGCACATCCTATGGATGGAACATGTGATGCACTCATCTCTGCAGAACAGAGGAAGGGCGTGGCACGGGCTGGACGGGAGGGGGAGGGATGCAGGCCGCGCAGTGGCTGTCTCTACAGGGGGAAGACAGTGAGATACGTTGCCCTATGGTGATTGTAAGAAAGGAAAGAGAAACTCCATCCAAACCCTCTATCCAGGCGGGCTGTGGGTCAGTGGGCAACCTGCCTCAGCCAGAGACACCTCCAGCAGGAGCTGGGGCCACATCCCTGGGCCTCCTCCTCTGACACTGCTCTCTGTGACACTGGACAGACCCAGTGAGGAGCAGAGCTGACCCAGGGCGCCTCTCTCTTCCCACCTGGGTCTGCTTTGTCAGACGTCACTGGGGGTCCTTGCACGCTGGGCCACACTGGCGGGCACACAGCCACAGCACACCAGCCACAGTGCCTTCTGGATCTCCTGGTTCCTGAAGGCGTAGATGACCGGATTGATGACGGAGTTGTAGGTGGCAGGCACCAGCGTTGCATAGGTGTAGAGCGGAGGGTAGGTGTAATCAGCAATGAGGGAGTAGACAGTGAACGGCATCCAGCAGGCGGCGAACGTGCCCAGGATGATGGCCAGCGTTGACACGCCCTTCCGTGTTGTGACGTAGTGGGGTGTGGCGGCCAGGAAGTGGTGCTGCAGGGCGATCTGATGAGCGTGGCGCATCACAATCTTGCAGATCTGGACGTACAGTTGCAGCATGAGGCCGAAAAGCAGCAGGAAGGAGACAGAGAGTACGGCGATGTTGTTCTTCGTCAGCGGCCGCACCACGCTGCACGTAGCCTCCTCCGCCAGGCAGTTGACCCCTGTGACCGGCAGCAGGCCCAGACACAGGGAGAGGCCCCACAGCAGCACCAGCATGGTGTAGGTGAAGGCCGCCGTCCGCTCCGAGTTGTAGGTGAGGGCATAGTACAGCGACAGGTAGCGGTCTATCGTGATAGCCAGCAGGCTGAAGACGGAGGCCGAGAAGGAGGCCACCACCAGGCCTACGGTCAATAGTTGGGCAGAGTCAGAGCGAAGTAGGTAGGCACAGGTGAAGTGGAGCACCAGGCCCAAGCCGGCCAGAAGGTCGGCTAGCGCCAAGCTGCCGATCAGCAGGAACATGGGGGCTCTGAGTGCTGGGTTCTGCCAGATCACCAGCACCACCAGGGCATTCTCACAGGCTATGAGGGTCCCCGACGTGCACAGCACGATGTCCCAGGGGTTGACCAGCAGGGGCAGCTGGCTGGGCGAAAGGGAGTCGTCCGGTGGAAATGTCCCCAGGATAGTGCTGTTATCCATTGGGCCCCCGCCTCCACTGGCCCATGCTGTGGGGTCAGGGGTCAGCCAGCTGGGGGTGACCGGTGGCTCTTCACTCATTGTGCCCCCCGTCTGAAAATGTGGCAAACAAAGAGAGAGTGAGGCTTTGTAATGATCGTCCAAAATGTGCACACAAAATCCGTCTCACTGGCAAAAGCAGAAGACCATAAATAAATAATTTTGTGTGCATGTGTTTTTCTTTTGGTTTGTATTTTTTATCTCTTACACTTAAATTAACTGAAAACAAAAACAGTGAGAGGCCGCTCTTCTCCACCTCTGTGCATGACACTGGTTGTGTTTGTGGCTAGACACCTGTGTTACTCATTACACATCACAAAAAATGGCCAAGGTTATATTCTCAGCCTGGTGTGTAGGTCTGTGAACACACAATATGCAGGAACAAACACAAACCTCAATGCTGCACTTTTATAACACGGAATTAAAACCTTGAGCTACACTTAAATTAAAATTCTACTGGTTTGAAATAATACAACTGCAGAGCAATGGCATGTGAACGTGCAGCTGTTCAACGCAATTACCATAATGCATCTTCCTCTGGGGTTATTATTATCATTATAGCAGGAGAGGCCTGCAGCCTACATAGGTTAGACCACACGTGAAGAGCTGTTTATTAATGCATGGGCATGAGGAGGGGGGTAGAAAAGCGGTGCAGGCTCTGCAGCCTCATTTCAGGCCACATTTCCCAAACAGCAACAATTCACGCAGCTGTCAGAGACCAACAGCAGCAGATACCGCGACCGTCACGGATTCACTGCATTTCTCTGAAACGCCATATGGTGCAGAGAGAAAAAGCACAGATGCTGCTGCTGCACGTCTGAGAGAAAGGGTGCAGGAGAGGAAAAAAAACAATAAAAAAAACAGGGTGCAATGTTCATGCATTCAAAGGATGCACCGCCATCTCCACCTCCGCCCAGCCTACCTTGATTCTGCGAGTTGAGACTTCCCGTCTAGATGGAAGCGCGACAGCAGCCTGGAGTCTCCATGTCAGTGATGAGGATGGTTGCAGCGCCGGCGGACAGAGACAGCAGCAGCCCGGTGAGGCGGAGGAGGAGAGAGACGGGAGGGGAGGGGTGGTGGTGGGATGCTGGTCCTCTCTGCCTGAAAGCAGGGCTGGTGGAAGAAGAAGAACAATTAGAGAAAGAGGAGGAGGAAGAAGAAAGAAAGGAGCGCGGGGCAGCTCTGCCGTTAACGGCGCATCGCCGTGGACTGCGGCTGTGCAGGGGCGCAGAGAGTGGAGCGGCGGCGGAAGAGAGGGAAAGCAGGAGGAGGAGGAAGAGGAGGAGGGCAAGAGGTGTGCGTGTGGATGGGAGAAGAGGAGGAGGAGGGGATGGTGATGAAGGAGGAGTCCCAAATGAGCCAGACTCTCTGAGGGAGGCTGAACTCCATTAAAAAAAGAGCCAAGTGTCTGATCCCTGCTGGCTCCAGGACGCACAGACTGGTTTTTACGCACCTTCTTTTCCACCCGAGGCACGAGCAGACCTGTGTGTTGCAACATTCAAGCAATAAAGTTTATTCAGTGTCTCCTGCAGGGTGCACTCACTCTGCAGCGCTCTGGAGTTTCAGTGTTTTCTTTCTCTTTTTGGAGCCTGGCTCCAGTTTCACATGTTGCGGCTGCCTGGGTGATACAGGACCCGCTTTCCCTCCTGCGACGCCCTGCTATTCTGGTCCTGTCTGTGCTATTAACAGCAGCCCTGATGTGTGTCACCATCCTCCCATCCCTCCCTCCTTCTCCCCTGTCCTCCATCTTCTCTGCCTCATCTCTCCATCCTTGCGGCGCCGGCTGCAAACACACATCAGCCCAGTCAGTGTCAGTGTGTGAGTTACTGATGTGCAGATATCTGACCACACTGAGCTGACCAAGCGATACGGCGCCTTTGTTTTTTATCCACCTGCCTTTCGAGTGTGAAAGGATTATAATTAGCTCCTGTTGCAGTGGGGGGGGGGGAGCAGAGCAGGTAGGTTGACACCACTAGGGGGCGACGCTAAGCTAGTATGAGTCATCAGTGCGCACCTGAGGGACAGAGGAGATCACACCCAGCCTCAATCTTACCAGCTTTATTTCTTTTTCTTTAAAACAGAAAATGATCGCTTCACAACAGGCCTCTTTAAGCAAACCCTCACGTTAAACTCGGCAACACCTACAAAACGGTATCAAAAGTGCACCATAGTGTTAATACATCTTCTCAAGGTCTAACATTTTCCAATGATAATATTATCTTCTTTTAATATTTATACAAATACCATTCTGTACACTGTAGAAATACACAACCCAGGGTTCCCCGCAAGTGGGACACTCACCCCCCCACATGTCCTCCTTTCCATCCACGATCAAAAGCATGATCCACTCGCAGTAAATCCCAGTGCACAAGAAGAGTGTGTGGGGGTGGGGGTGAAGACACCAGGCCAATATTACATAGTATGAATTATTAAATACCCATTCAACCCCACACCCAAGGCAAAAACTAATACGCCACTCATACCAACCAACATCTGTACAACCCTCATTCAACGTCTCCTTTGTTAAAAACAATCAGTTTTCATTCATTATCGTCTCATTGTCTCTGCAGCAGCGGCGGCAGCAGCGGCAGCAGCGTCCAGCCAAATTGAAGGGTATGATGGGAGAGTAGGGACACGGGGACCAGGAGGGACAGCTGGTACAGAGGCAGAACTTCCACGGCTGAGCTGCGGCGTAAAAAAAGCACAGGTATGGATTACAGCTGTGCGAGCAGTTATGAAACCATACGGGCTGCTGTGGGGCGTTTATGGTCTGCTGCTCCCCGCATGAGGGAACCGAGCATTTCTCCTGGTTTCTGTGGTGAAACACTCGACGTCCACATTTAGTCTCTGGACTGGTAAAAGAGGATGTAGCCCGACTCAGAGTTCTTGGAGATTTCAGAAGTGAGACCGTAGAATTCTTCTATGGCCTGGGCGTCGATTTTCTACCAGAACATAAATGGTGACATGAAGAATCAGTATTACACAATCAGACACGTACATGTAAAGAATCCAAGTATGACAAGAGAGAAAAACTCACTCACCTCTACAATATCATCATCAAACAGCAACCAGAAGTCGTGACTTTTCACAATTGCAATGTAGTGACCCCTGTTCGGACCACTGAAAAGAAATAAATCAGTGTATTAACTCTATAAGGTTAAATTTAAACCCTTGACCAACATCTCTATTCTGACTTTAAAGGTCCAACACATCCATGAGCCATGTCATTATGTCAAGATTAAAATACTGCAAACTGACAACATATCATCATACCCGTTAAATATGTGTATAATTACACTGATGTGAAACATATTGGTTCTCCCACATAAACATCTGGTTTAGTGAGGGAACTTGCATCTTTCACAAGATTCAGCAAGTTCAAACAGGAAGAGGAGAGAGGAAATGGGAATGAGATGCAACAGAGGTCGCTGACCTGATCGACTCAATCAAGTTCACCTACGCACCTCCCACAATGCACCACCACGGCCACCAGGTCATAGAGCCTCTCAGGATTGGTGGCGTCCCCGGACGTGTTGAAGAGACGGAGTTCCAGGGGGAAGACAACACGATAGGACAGCTTGGTGTAGCGCTGCAACTGCTCCATGTACTTAAAGCGCTTCAGGTGCAGAGCCAGGATCATAGGCAGCTTCTTAACACGCATTCTGAAAATCACAAAATATAACAGCATGACACACAGTAATCTGAATACACTAGAAGAACTGAAATTCACACATGGAGACGGAACCCGGTCACTGACCTCTTGTGTGCCTCCTGCTTGCTTCTACATTCTTCACAGTAGTATTTGTACTCACTGCACAGTGTCTCTGTGTTACTGAAACCTCTGGGAAGATGAATAAAGACAACTGGTCAGTTCACAGCTACAAATGAATGTTGCAATTTCAAAAATACTGAATTCTCCTTATGCAGGTGAAGGACAGAGCAGAATGTAATTTCAATTTCTTTATTAGTGATGCAAAAAGGATGATTAGGAAACATTTCACTCAAATAGACTGTTGCTGATGAAGGCAGCGGCCTTCAGCCGACAACATCTGGCTTGAGTCCAGTATCAAACTTAAACAAATACATGAAAAATAACTTTACATGTGTTACAGCCAAAATCTATGTTGTCGGTTCAAAACTTTGTAAGCTTCCCAGTGATTGGTTTAACAACTGTTTAGTCTTAAAACATATGCAATTAATGGAAAATGTCAGATCCAGTGTTTTATTTGTTTTGTCAGACCAACTGTCCAAAACCCAAAGAAACTCAGTTTATGTAAAAAGAGAAAGCTGCTCCTTCCCTCACAGATGAGTTGCAAGAACCAGCAAATGTTTTACATTTTAGCTTGAAATGACTTTTTGTTAATTTTTCATACAGTTGCAGATTAACTTTCTGTCATTCAACAACAGTACAAACTCTGCTTCCTCAGTTCTTGCTGCAGGTCTGCCTCTGTGTGGCGGATTTACCTGAGGCAGTGTGTGATGGATGTATTCTGTTCTACATCCACTGAAAGGTCCAGAAAGTCCTCATCTTTGCTGCTTATCTGGAAAGAAAAGGCAACTTCAGAATAAACTAAAACCAAATAGTAGAAAAACATGAAACTACAGTCTGTGGTCACATGGCTTTTAAAACTCTGCTGTATACCGTTCTATTGTATTTACTAAAAATACTGCACGCAAGCACACACTGACATAATTTATAGCTAACACAACCTTGTGCCAACAATCTTCATCCGTGTCAGTTTAATAATCAATAATGGCAAAGTTCTCCCCGGATGAGAATAGCGGTGAGGCGTCCTACCGTTTCACAGGTGAGGCAGCGTGTCTCATTGGTCAGAGTGCCTTGGAAGATCTCGTGGACCCAGGTGGGAGCGGGCGTGGCATTGCTGTTGTTGTTCTGGGAGTCCAATGTGCCGTTGGCAAGGCGGCCATTGGTCTTGTCCTGCTTCCTCTCCTCTTGCAGCAGGTCAGCAATGGTGTTGAGTAAGTAGTTCAGGAATTCGTGGGCATCCTGCTGCATGTAGTTGTCAAACAACTCTGAAGGAGAAAATACGTATAGAGAGAGACTTAGGTTAATTCAGCTGATTTACGTGTTCAGCAGGTACTTCAGGAACTTCTGCCAACATGTTCTCACAAACTCTGTGGGAGTGAGCAGCCAACGAGAAGAAACAAGCGAGTAAAGATTTTTAGATCGGGTGTTTGGGTGATGATTGGACTCTTATCTTCCTGAGTTTTTCAGTTCCCTCTCACCATTCTCCTTGCGTAGACGTGTGATGAACTTCTTGGGCGGTATGACGCCCACTTTCCTCTTTTGGTTGGCAATACTGTGGAAAAGGTCAGCCAGGCAGGTGAGCAGGTTCTCCTTTCGCCGCGGCTGGCTGCGGTACGCCAAAATCTTTTCCCGAAATGGCCGGCAGAAGTACAGCGCCTGCAGCACCGAGTTGCAGTAGCAGGTGTTTCCAAACTAAAATCAAATGTGGAAGTAGAACTTAAGTAAGACACAAATGAAAATGCATTCCTGAGATTTTACTTCCTCTATCATGTATGTCATTTTTCTCAAGTTCTCTCTGGATATTTCTCTATGCATCCGGCTGAATGTTAATTTATGATTTTATTGACTCTCCCCTTTTATTTTATTGAATTTTGTTATGTTTATTCATTATGATATAAACTATGATACTCTGCTTTGCTAATACATCACATGGTTTTCCAAAATGGTTTGTGGGAATTTAAGATGGCAAGTCTGTTCTTTATCAGAAGTCAGCAGAAGAGCTTTGTGCTCGGAACGTCACAGGCAAATAAATCCTTTAACTGGAGCTTAGCTGTGCGGATTTTTTTTTTTTTCAAACATTTTTGGTGGAAATATATACAACAAGACACTGGATATGCACAGTGTATCATTTGCTTACATTGACCAGGCCGAAGTAGTGCTCATTAACCGGAAACTGCTCAGATCCAATCTCTTTCTCCAGAGCAGAGGCATTGGCGCCCTGTATATACACAAAGACAAAAAACATACCATATATTCATTAGATCAACACACACTGCAAGTTCAGCCTTTACATTAAACAGGACAATCGTAAGTATACACAAATACTTGATCTAAAT